AGGTGTCGGCCATGACGACGCCGATTACCCTTTCGGTCTCGGTTGGGAGCCACAGAGAGCACGTGTTCCACGACCCGACAAACGTCGCTTAGGAGGCTTCAGTAACGAGGTCATGGCTGAGGGCCCTGCTGCACTGGCTTCCCTACTAGCTCACGTTCGGTGCTCTCGGCGGTTACCTCGGCAAGCTTACACCAGCCACGGCATTATGATTTCAAAAAAGAACAAACAGCCGACGGGGGACCCCATCAAAGACATTAACTCGTGCCTCAGGATGATTCATTGTTTCTGCCCATGGTGGCGACTTTATTTGCGAGTAGGAGTACTTGATTATGGATACGCGTGTGTATTTCCTGACTGGGCCTATGGGGGTATACGTAACAGACGACGTGAGGCCTTGATGAGCATCGTTAAGATACTAGAATGGAAATTACGCACATGTAAATTATCATATCTAATCAAGTCTTACGACATGCGGAACGCTTTCGGCACCGGTTTCACATCCAAGTTGATCGAGAATTCTGATTGGCGATGCGAGTCTCGACACTTTCGGCAGATGCTGGCCATGCACCGCGAGAAGGCGGTGATTCACGTTGACGCGGCGGACCGTAGTATCTGCCTTCGACCCGCGTCAGGAGGGAGGATGGGGGATTCCAATGAGCCCGAGTTCTTCATGGGTAACTTCTACGGCCCCGTTATTAGGTGGAAGCTCCAGATGAAAGACCTCACAGGGCCCCTCCTCCAGGCCACCTGCCCCATCACTCAGAAGCCCCAGGACCTTTCCCTCGGCGCCTTCATCGACGACCTTATAAAAATCATGATTGTTCCAGATGGTTCTTATCGTCAGGCCCTCACCCTCGATTTGATTGATAACAACACCCTCAACGATGAGCTCGAGCACGACGGATACGCCCAAAACGTAGCGAAGCAGGACACAATCATCAAGCTAGCCACTACGCAAGCTACGAAGCAAGCCGAGCAACATATCAGCGGAAATGCCGTCACTAACTTAATTCATCTGGGAGGGTATGTTAACGTGGGAGGGTCTAACGCCAGGGAGGTCACGGAGCGCATACGGTCCTGCAACATAGGTTGGAGCATGCTCTCTCGCTTTCTTACCTCACCCGCCCCCATCATGAGCAAGCGGATGACGTTCATCGTCAACGTCGCTGGTCGTGCCTGGTCGGGTCTTGAATCTTATTGTTTGCTAGCAGGTGAGACGGCCCGCATTGATCGGAGTCTGGCCAAGAAAATGAGGGCCATGGCTATGGGGCGCGCGCGCCAGGAGTCCGAGGAGGGCAGGCACCAGTCTTGGACAACGCGTCAGGTATTCGAACACTGGTCAATGGCTCCTACATCGATTGAACTCCTCGTGCGCCGCCTCTCCTGGTGGCAACAGATCGTCACGGAGCCTAATCATCACTCGCATTTCTTAGCAGCTTTCTTCGGCCAGTGCACCTTCGAGCTGACAGTCGGCCAGGGACAGGTGGCCCCCTCGATCGCGGACAACGGTACATTGAGTACTGCTCCCTCCACGCATCCATGGCTCAGGCAGTTACGAGACGATCTTGCATGTCTGCTTGAACACCCCGCGGGAGAGAGGTTGAAGGTCGAGTGGGACCCCCCCCTGGTCCGAGACTTGTTCCACAATCATCATGTATCCGATGCTTTTCGAGCTTGCGATCCTCGTGTTCTTCGATCCAGTTTCCTCTCGAAGTCGTGGGCCCCTCCAGGGTACTCGTCTGTGGCGCAACACCTTCCTCGGGACGACACGATTCAGGACGACTCTGATGAGGAGGAGTTGTTACTCATATGTGGTCTGGATGGGTGCACTATGCGGTTCGAGAATTTACATAAGCTCACTATTCACCAAGTGCATTCTAAAGCTCCAGGACATGGCTGGCCCCCCATATTGACCACCCTTACCCTGGATAATCAGTGCCTTGTATGTAGAACGGTGTTTTCGTGTATCGAGCACACAGTATTACATCACCGTCGGTCCTGGCTCCAGGCACGCTGTTTACCCAACCAGACTCGGCACGTATATGAGTGGAAACCTACTAGTATTCGTTTATGCCCGTACTCCCAGGTCTCCGAGAATCACCAGTGCCAGTCCCCTTTCGAGAGTATGGGAATGTTTCGGAAGCACCTTCTCTCACACATCCCTCCGTCACCATCTGGCCCATGGGCACAGCCTCGCGTGCCCGCGGCGCGCGCACCCGCGGGGGATCCCCGCTCTTCCACTACAGCTAGCGCGCCGCGATCGACGTGGGCGCCTTCTGATACGGCCAGTACACGACAGGAGGTACAGCGTGCCTCTCAGCTGCTGCTGTCTCCCCCACCTCCGAGCACTGCGGGTCTACCTGCTCGTCGGCCTCGCGATCGACACCCCCGGCCTGCAGCATCGGCGGTAACATCGCCAGCGGATCCAACGCCAGCTCGAGCGACTACTACACCTGCACCAACGCCAGCTCGAGCGACTACTACACCTGCATTGCCTGTGCTACCTGCTGCAGCCCCTGATGGCGACGATGGCAGGCACCCAGCGGGCAGCTTGGCGCCTCCCGAGATCCTCAGCGGGGTCTGGCAGTGGTGGCAAGCCAAACGAGCCGAGCGGGCCGCGCGCGAAGGAAGCGCGGCGGGAGGCACCAGCAGAGGGTCGGGGCTCGGCGGAGGCGGCGGCCGCGGACGAGGGAGCACCAGAGGAGCCTCGGCGTCGTCGCCGAGGCGGCCGCCGCCGCCGCGGCCAACACTCGGACAAGAACTGGACGTCGAAAGACAAGAACCTGGCGGAGTTTCTTCTAGTCATCGCGAAGCTGGTGTTACAGAACACGCATCGGACACGCATGAACTCGGCGGCGACCATCGACACGATGGTGTTCCCGACGACCCACCCCGTGATAGTGGCCATCGGCGACGAGGTCGACAACTTTCGCGGCGAGGTGGACAAGCTCCGCAAGCAGGAGACGGGCTCCAAGGAGGCACTGAAGGCGCTGGGGGCGCCGACCGCCAGCCTGTTCGTGGCCTTTCTCGAGGCACTCAGCACGTGCGACATCGGCGGCAAGTCGAAGGCAGCACTCAAGACGTGGCTGGACAAGGTGAACGGCACCGCGGACGAGGCGATCTGCATCAGCCGCGAGGACTTAGAGGACGAGGTGCCCATCCTGCGCCTGGAGAAGTGCTACAAGCCCGACGAGACCAAGCTCATCGTCGCCATGCGCGGCTGCCCGATGCGCTCGACCATCCTGGAGGCAGTCAGGAACGACGGCAAGGCGACCGTCCACACGGGGATGGCGCCGCCAGGCTGGCTGGAGGAGGAGTTGTCATGCTGGGTCGACGCCCTGTCGAAGTAGGTGCTCTGAGCAGGCCCGTTCGATTTGTAAGGTCTAGCTCTCTTCCTCCCCCTTCTGAATGTGGTGACGTTTACCCGGCCGGTCACTCCGGAGCTGTAAGGTCTAGCTCTCCTCCTCTCTTCTCTGAGCCCGCTGCTCGGAATGCCCCCAGTCCGACCTTAGTTGCAGCACTTCCGCCACAGACGGAAGACGAATATGAAGCCGATGCCGAGGCTGCCGCATTTCTCGCCATTTGATTTCCCACCAGGCCTGGCACACCCGCTCTGCTCGCCGCTCGAGCCCCGTGTGTGCACGCCGCGCCTCGCGAGTTTTAGCCCCTCCGCTAGCCACGGGTTCACCAGCAAATGGCATGTACCAGCAATTGTCTGCACACGTTTCGCCATCCTGCTAGTCCTGACAGACAGAGCCCAGATGTGGAAGTATATAAAGTCGCCGTCGTCGTAGTCGTCGCCGGCGTCGTCGTCGCCGTCGTCGTCGTCGTCGTCGGCGTCGTCGTCGTCTGTGGGACCATACCATCTGGGGGGGGGGGGGCCCGAGGAATCCTGGGACCATACCATCTGGGGGGGGGGCCCGTGAACCCTCGACCCTGGATCATATATACGTGCCCGTGGGCATGCTCATGTACGCATGCGTACTCACACGGACGCCATCAAATGAGAGAATTTCGATTCGGCGTTGCGGGACGCATCACTCGACAGCGCAGTCTATTCGACGATGCCTGTCTTCTTTCTCTTGCGTCTACACGGCTGCAGCGGCGCCCCTCCCATCCGGGGTTGCGAAACATTCGCGACGTGCGCCCCCAGGGATTTCGACCCTTCGTCCCTAGGGGCCGGCTCTGCATCCAGAGCCGTTGCGTGACGGCCCGCAGGAGCAGGAGGCGGCCTCCTGGAGCACATCTTCAAACAGCGCGGTGGCCACAGTGCGTGGTGTGGTGAGTGACTCACCACACCACGACTCAGTCATGTGGCCTTTTCGCGGCGGCAGCACAGTTTTTGGGACCTGGGCCGTTCTCCGAGGATGCCTCGGGCGACTCGGGGCTTCGAGGTCCTAGGGCCGTGTGGTGACGGACCGCGCGGTGAGTTTTTCGAGGACTCCGAGGTCACCGCGCGGTCTGATTTTCCTCTCCCCGAAGGATGTTCCACGTCGTCGATCCCTGGAGGCCTCCACCCCTTCTTCGCTCCCTCTGTTGGGCAGTTTCTCCTTTGTCGTGCATGGGGCTCGGCGAGGGCCACCGTAGGCAGAAGATACGGAAGCACGCCCCGCCGTCGGGAGCAGAGGTCTTCTGGGACCCCCAGGGTCCAAGCGCGTCGAACAGTTGGCCGGCGCGTTGTTTGTCTGCTTGGCTTCGGTTCCTGCTCTTGCCTTACGCCGGGCCTGCCCCTCTACAGGGGGAATATGCAAAAACAGCCGAGCAATAATATGGGGACGCTTGTCATATTATACTTATATTTCCACAGTATTATTTGATATACATATATATATATATATATATATATATATATATATATATTTATTTTATATATTTAAATATAAATGTTTCATTAGTTCTTCCCACATCCGCCTGCAGGAGGACATGCCCGACCCGGCTCCCGCCCGTGAGAGCGCCCCGAGCGGGAGGGGAAGCGCCCCGCGAGCGGGCCGCGCCCGCAGGCCCTCGGGAAGGCGGAGGCCATCGAGACGAAAGGCCCGCGCGGCCGCGCCGCCGCGCGGCCCCGTCGGCCCGGCGGCGGGGCCCCCCTCCTGGGGGAGGCCCCTCCACAGTTAAGTCGGGCCTGTCTCCCTGCAGGGGGATTTTCGACGAAAATCTGAAAACCCCCTCAAAACAATCAAAAAATAGTCTAAACATAGTGTGGGGACTATTTTTGGAATATGTTTTGACCTTTTTGGCGTATTTTTGGCGTTTCCATTTTTCGCTGAAAATCCCCCTGTAGGGGGACACGCCCGACATAATTCTACAGGAGGAAGATTCCCAAAGAGTACAGCATATCAGCCAGCGTTGACGCCGAGTAGATAGGTGGGCAGGAGGAGAGCGAGAGAAGGAGAAGACGAGGAGGAGAGGACGGGAGGCAAGGAAGCCATGGGTATTCCATAGGAATCCTAGCTTAGGATCCCGAGGACTCCATCCGTATAGGCATTGACATAAGCATTGGCATATAGGCATTGGCATAGGCATAGGAATCCATACGAGTCATAGGAATCCATAGGAATCCATAGGACTCGCAATTGGAACTAGCTGGGGGGTGCCATTGGAAATAAGGGGGGGTGCCATTGGAAAAAGGGGGTCTGGGAGGGGGGTGCCATTGGAAATTAGGGGGGGCATAGGACTTAGGGGGGCAATTAGTAGGGTCTGAACTCCTAGAGGGTAAGCCTATTTGGAAAACATAGTGTCGAGGGCCTTTCGCCGATCTGTCGGCGATGCATCGCGGGTTCCATGTCAATGCCTCCCCCCTGATTGCTGTTCCCACTCGTTCAGATTCAAGGGGGGAACGGGTCTTGCAGGTTCTGAACTGTTCTCGGACTCACTGGGGGTACTCTGAAGTCGGGCATGTCCTTCTACAGGAGGAATATGCAAAAGTAGTAGAAAAATCGTAGGGGGACGATTTTTTGATTGAGCATTCTTAGACTATTGTTTAGTTTTCGTCCAATATCCGCCAGGGGGACGTGCTCGACCTGAGTTCAGGGCAACAGAAAATTGCATAAACGTAACAACTAGGAGGTTCGCGCTGATTTCTTGGATCCGCGCTGAATCCCCCTCCCCGGCGCGCGGTGCGCGCCAGGGGCGGCGCCGGAGGCGCCGCCAGGGGGCCCCAGCGCCGATCCGAGAAGTCCGCGCGGACCTTCGAGTTATTATGTTTATGTCATTGTTCGTTCCCCTAGAGTGGGGAGCCCCCAAATCAGGTGGTGAGATATCCAGGTGGTGACCTGGAATCCCCCAAAACATCACCGCCGGGTTTTGGAACACGGGGTCGCCGCCGGGTTTTGTGACTCCTGGACTCACCTGCGTTCGGGACATCCTAGAAAAAACCACACGAGTCCCCGGATCGGGTGGTGACACCAAATCGCCCGAGACTCACTGCCGGGTGTTGTCAGCACCACGTTTGGGGTCTACCAAGAGAGGCCTTCTCAAAAGGGGGCGGGGCTTCTCGGAAGCCCTCCGGCCGTCTGAGAAGCCGTCGCTGTCTTTGGAGAGGGCCCAGAAAGCTTGTCAGAAGGCGCGAGGGCTTCTGAGAGGCCCCACCACTTTCTGAGAAGGCCTGCCCGCCTGCATCCTCTCACCTCCCCCCGTGGGGTCGCCGCCGAGGTATCCTGTTTGTCTCGTTGGCGCGGACTGCAGCAGCTGTTTACGATGCTCGGCCTGCCCCGCGGTCCAGACGCGTATCTTACAAGACGGTTCCGATGCAGCGTGCGCGTCGTTTTCATGGCACGTGCCCTTAGCGCAGGCGACGTCGCGTGGGCCGTTTCCGTATAGCTTTCGACTTCCAGGTATCACTTGCTAGCCATTGCAGTGCTCATGCCTACAAATGTCGGGGAAACATAAGACTCGAGTAGGCCAGAATTCGGGTTTGCCGACGTTTTTTGACGAGCGCGCCCTGGATGTTGACGGTCCGGTTTTCGTGGGATGTCTGCAGCGGGAGCTCGCGCCAAATTTCAGATTGGGTCTCGCCATCTTCATGGTGGCCCCCGTCAGGCCAACCCGGGTCCCCCGTACCCGAGTCTTACAGTCAACGCGCATAGTAAGGACGCGCGCCTTCATCTAGGGTACCCTTGTGTCCTTGCCTCTGTGGCCCGTCCTTTGCCGTTTTCACTGGTCGCCGCCGCCCAAACAAAATCCCAATTTCAGCCTCCAAGGGTCTTGCGTCCTTACCACGCGTCCTTAATATACGTTTTGACTGTACGTCTCCCCAAGCATGGGGCAGGTCAAGAGGAGGGCGAGCCGAGGCAGCGGCACTTGGCCTGCCGCGGGCCCCCCTCGTCGCTGGGGCTGGGCGCGGTCTGGAGCATGGGTCTCGCGAGGGGTCCGCGGACCGAGTTTGAGCCGCCGCCGTCTCGAGTCGCCCTGCTCCCTCCCTCCTCTGGGATCGCCGAGGTTCCCTCGGGGTGTTTGTTTCGGGGTTTCCCAGCTCTTTTTTTACCCCCGCGCGGCCCTGGACATGCTGCCTCCAGGGAACCAGTTCTGCAGGCCTTCCTGGGTCCATTTGGGGCCCCAGCTTCTCAGCAATGCGCAGGGCAACTTTGCCTCTGGGCTTCAACGCCTTTCCCGTCGAAGAGCCCTCCGCGCCGTTCTCCGTAACAGTGCCGCGTCCACGGTCGCGCCCCGTTGGATCCACTTCTTTGCAGGATTTCCTTTACCCAAACGAACCGAAGCTTGCGACATCGAACAAACACCTGATTTAGGAGCATACGCGTGAAAACGTGTATCCCTTTTCTTGTGGAAGGTTTCTTGTGGACTGGCCTCCACTGTACGTCCATTGGTGGGCTCCCTATAGAAGGCCCCCCCCCCTCTCGCGCCGCCCTCCTGCGCAGGCGACGCCAAACGCACGAGACGAGCACACAGTCAGCCAAGGCGCCGAACTGAGGGCCGCTGGGTCTGGAGGGCCTGGTTTTTACAGTTGAGGCCCATACCAAGAGGCACCTTGCTCGCCTCCAGGGCGCCCTGAGTCTCTTGGGTCTCGATGGTTTTGCCATGGACCGTGCGGCGCTCCCGCCCCAGAAGTCCCTGGACGTCCTGGGGTCTCAGGGTTGGGCTTCCTGTGGCAGGTTTCCTGTGGCCGGGCCCTTACTGTATCGCAGAACAACGTGCGGCGCACCAACCAGCCTTCCTCGGAGCTCCCCGCGGACATCCACCCTCTCCGATCGGCGCGGGGCCCTCCTGGCGGCGCCTCCCGCGCCGGCCCCCCTCCGGCTCGCTCTCCGCGCCTCCAGGGGACGGCGGGGCGGGGGCTCCGGCGCCGACCCGGGAGACGCCCGCGCGGAGCTCCGAGAATGTGCTGCTCTCTTGTGCAGCCTGCGCTGCTCCCACAGGGAGGGCCCCCCACCCCCAGAGATCCGTTTTTTCAACACGGGGTCCCTGGAGGTCCCAACCCCTTCCCCGGGATCGGTTTGTTCATCCTGAGTCGTTTTTTGATGGTCCCGAGGCCCGGTGAGGGTAAAGGCCGAAAATTGTAAAAAACACGTCCGTCTTGATTTTTTCAATGCGTTTGATCTCTGGGAGGGAGGGCCCCCTGTGGCTCTCCGGGCCGCTCGTGCGCTTTCTGCAGGCCGGGGCGCGCCCCTCGGTGGCCGGCCGTGGCCCGCGGGTGCGCCCTCTCTCGGTGCGGGCGGCGCGAGGCACGCGCCCCTCGCCGGGCCGCGCCAGGGCGTCGCCGGCCACGGGGGGCGCGGCGGCGGCGGGGCGGAGCGTCGCCCGGGCTCGGCGAGGAGGAGCGTCGCCCAGACAGGATCGCGGCGTGGAAAAATCAGGACGGCAAGTTTTTCCCAGGTTTCGGGCCCTGGGGGCCCTCGCCAGGCCCTCGGACCGTCAAAAAACGATTCAGGGTGAAGAACCGGCCCCGCGCAAAGGGTCTGCGCTTCTGGGGACGCCGTCCTGAATTAGCCTGGCGAAGAACCCAACCATATGCAGTTGTCAGTACCGCAGCTGCGGGTTTCATCTTCAATGGAACTCCCCATAGGATTACGGAACGTGTGAGGGGTGTGCCGAGATGGGTGCCACTGGGGCATTCGGCGAAGCTCCCTATGGGGACATGAAACACGCGCGGGGCGTGCCGACATGGGTGGCGGAAACGCATGTGCGGGCCGCCACTGGGGCCTCCAGTGGAGCTCCCTATGGGTCCCCGAAACATGATGCTGCTGCGGGGGGGGGGGCCGGGATGGGTGGCGGAGACGCATGTAAGCGCCGCTACTGGGGCCTTCGGTGGAGCTCCCTATGGGGCCACGAAGCGCGTGAGGGGTGTACTGGGATGTGTGGCGGGGACGCATGTGAGCGCCGCCACTGGGGCCTTCGGTGCAGCTCTCTATGGGGCCACGAAACGTGTGAGGGGTGTGCCGAATTGGGTGCGGGTGGTGACGCATGCGGGCGGTGCCACTGGGGCCTTCGGTGGAGCTCCCCATGGGGCCACGAAACCTGTTGTTGTGAGGGGCGTGCCGGGATGGGTGGCGGGGACGCATGTGAGCGCGGCCGCTGGGGCCTTCGGTGGAGCTCCCTATGGGGCCACGAAACGTGTGAGGGGTGTGCCGAATTGGGTGGGTGTGGGTGACGCATGTGAGCGCCGCCACTGGGGCCTCCGGTGGATGATGGGGCCACGAAACCTGTCAGGGATGTGCCGAAATGGGTGTGCGGGACGCATGCGCATGTGAGCGCCGCCACTGGGGCCTTCGGTGGAGCTCCCTATGGGGCCACGAAACGTGTGAGGGGTGTGCCGAAATGGGTGTGGGTGACGCATGCGGGCGCGGGCACTGGGGCCTTCGGTGGAGCTCCCTATGGGGCCACGAAACGTGTGAGGGGTGTGCCGAAATGGGTGTGGGTGACGCATGCGGGCGCGGGCACTGGGGCCTTCGGTGGAGCTCCCTATGGAGCCACGAAACGTGTGAGGGGTGTGCCGAAATGGGTGTGGGCTGACGCATGCGGGCGCGGGCACTGGGGCCTTCGGTGGAGCTCCGAAATATGCGGGCGCGGGCACCAAACGAAACGTGTGAGGGGTGTGCCGAAATGACGCATGCGGGCGGGCACTGGGGCCTTCGGTGGAGCTCCCTATGGGGCCACGAAACGTGTGAGGGGTGTGCCGAAATGGGTGTGGGGACGCATGCGGGCGCGGGCACTGGGGCCTTCGGTGGAGCTCCCTATGGGGCCACGAAACGTGTGAGGGGTGTGCCGAAATGGGTGTGGGTGACGCATGCGGGCGCGGGCACTGGGGCCTTCGGTGGGGCCTTCGGTGGAGCTCCCTATGGAGCCACGAAACGTGTGAGGGGTGTGCCGAAATGGGTGTGGGTGACGCATGCGGGCGCGGGCACTGGGGCCTTCGGTGGAGCTCCCTATGGAGCCACGAAACGTGTGAGGGGTGTGCCGAAATGGGTGTGGCTGACGCATGCGGGCGCGGGCACTGGGGCCTTCGGTGGAGCTCCCTATGGAGCCACGAAACGTGTGAGGGGTGTGCCGAAATGGGTGTGGGTGACGCATGCGGGCGCGGGCACTGGGGCCTTCGGTGGAGCTCCCTATGGAGCCACGAAACGTGTGAGGGGTGTGCCGAAATGGGTGTGGGTGACGCATGCGGGCGCGGGCACTGGGGCCTTCGGTGGAGCTCCCTATGGAGCCACGAAACGTGTGAGGGGTGTGCCGAAATGGGTGTGGGTGACGCATGCGGGCGCGGGCACTGGGGCCTTCGGTGGAGCTCCCTATGGAGCCACGAAACGGTGCACTGGGTGGGTGAGGAGAGAGGAGGGAGGGGAGGAGAGGAGGAGAGGAGAGGAGAGGAGAGGAGAGGAGAGGAGAGGAGAGGAGAGGAGAGGAGAGGAGAGGAGAGGAGAGGAACGCGGGGCACCGTCTCTTCAAAACGAGGACCCAACACCACAGGATGGTAGGGAAAATGTCAGGCCGTCGCATGTCTGGGGGGGATCGGGCTTCAAGAGACGGGGGTCAGTGCAAACGGGGGTCAGCCAGAGCGCCGGATCTTGCGGGATCCTGCGGGCCCAGGGGTGCACTGGCCCGAGCTCGGGCGCAGGAGCCTGCAGGACCCTGCGGGATCCTGCAGGGTCCTGAGGGCCTGCAGAAGGCCTGGCTGGCCCGACGAGTCAGGAGCCTAAACAAAAAAAGTCTGGGCGAGAACGCTCGCGATCGCCCCCGCCCCTCCCCCCCCTCGATCACGTCACGCTGTTTTCCCCACATGTCTCAAGGAATCTTCCAGGGTTTCCAGAGACTCTCAAGGGTTTCCCAGGAATTCGTCGTCGTCGCTGTTGTCCGCGACCGGGAGGCCGAAAAAGCGAGAACGAAGTCACAAAATGTTCCTTCTTATCCTCCTCAATCCCCTCTTCCTCTGCTCCCTCTCCCTCTTCCTTATCTTCCTCCTCGCGAGGGCCCGGGGGCTCGAAAAAGGCCTAGGAGGCCGAAACCCGCCGTGATGTGATCGGTGGGGCCCCTCGCCCCCCAGTCACGCCCGTTATCGCGGATCATCAGAAAAAGCTCCAGAAGCTCCCCCCCGAGTGGAGGGCGAGGAGGAAGCGGGGGCGTCCAAGAGGGGGAGGACTAGGGGGGGGATCTCGCGGCCAGGGCTATGGCATACATCTCCTGATCATACAGTACCGTTTTTAATACATGCTCCGCGTGCGGATCATGTATTAAAAATGCAGGGATTCAGTATCAAAATCAATGATGAGTTCATGCATAATTTCATTCATACATTAATCATGTATTAAATCCAATATTTTGCAAAATCCTATGTATCAAAAACTCTCCTTGTATCGTGGCCCCCTCTTGACGTGTTTTTTTAAAGCGCGTCCCCCCCCCCTCGTCCGCGCCCACGCGCGCCGGGCCACGCTGCGCACCCCCCTCCCTCCTTCCTGGCTTGCCCCCCCACTTCTCGGCCACACGCAGAGGGGGGTAGGGTTGAGTCGGGCCTCTCCCCCTACAGGGGGACCTTCGAGGAACAATTAAAAATACTCAAAAAATACACCACAACGGTTAAACATTCTCCAAAAATAGTCCCCAGACTATTTTTGGAACTATTTTTTGATTATTTTTGGGGTATCTTTATTTTTGGTCGAAAACCCCGTGTATGGGGGACGGGCCCGACTTAAGGGTAGGGGAAGGGGGGAAGGCTTCTTGGAAACACCCCTGCTTATTCGAAGGCGCGGGCCGTATCTGCAGATGCAGGGTCGCCGCCTTCTGAGAAGCAGCCTCCCTCTAAGAAGCTTGCCCCCCCTCCCCATGCCCCCTTGTGCGCGCCGCCGAGCCCCCCCCCGCTTCCTGGCTCCCTCCAGCACTTCTTCGCGCCCGAAGGACGAGGGGACATTCTGCGACGGAGAAGTGCTCCGATTCGGCGTAAGGTCTACAGGGGCGGCCCTCTCGGATGCAGGTGTCGCAGCAGGTCGCTTCGTCTTCTCTCCAGAGGAGCAGCGCAAACAGCACGTTCGGCCCCTGAACTCGCTGCGCGTCCCTCG